TGATGCAGAAAGCCTTCCTGCAGGGCTTCTCGGCAGAAAAAGAGGCCCCACTGGGGCAACCTTGAGCACTGTGTCAGTCTTGTTCTTGAAAGACAGGGCTAAAGTGTCCCCAAATGACTGATCTCAACCCTACGGGCCTAAGGCAATGTGAGGTACTTTTCCCTCGAAGGCATTGAGCACTGGCTGATCTGCTACTACAGTTTCTGAACTGTCGGGTGCAACCTGCCCATCACAGACTTAGGCTTGGCTCATCTAAGAGTCCCTTTGGAATTTGAAGATGCCAAAGACCTTAGGACCACAGCAACTCCATTTTGAGTGAGGGCTTGGAAAATGAGGCTGGGATTTGCTGGGGAGAAAGTTAGGCATTCCTCAACTCTACATGTTTAAGGTTAAGGGAACAAATTGATGACGTTTACTAAACAGACCCAGGCTTGGGAGTGTCCTAATATCCCAATGTCTGGAGAACAAAGGCATTTCTAATTTTGCCTTAAAGACAGTAATATTGGACCAGTCACAGTGGCTCACATCTATAATCCTAGCACTTTGGGAGGCCGAGATGGGTAGACTGCCTGAGCTCAGGAGTTCAAGACCAACCTGGGCAACATGGTGAAACCCCATATCTACTAAAATACAAAAAATCAGCCGAGCGTGGTTGAGGGCACCTGTAATCCCAGCTACTCAGGAAGCTGAGGCACGAGAATTGCTTGCATGCAAGAGGCGGCGGTTGCAGTGAGCTGACATGGCAGTCCAGCCTGGGCAAAAAAGTGAAACTCTATGTCTCCAAAAATAAATAAATAAATAAATAATATCGATTCTTGCAAAATATAATAATGAAGAAAATTAATCCTTTATCACAAACCCCTGTAGCAGAGCTCCCCATACACATGAGTATTGTACCTTGGGAGGATGGGTTCCTCCTCTTACTTTTGGATATGTCCCACTCTGTCTATGGAGTCACTGTTCTTTCACTACTTGACTCTCTTTATAAACTTGCTTTTACTTTGTACTATGGATTTGCCCTGAATTCTTTCTTGCGTGAGATCCAAGAACACTCTCTTGGGATCTGGATCAGGACCCCTTTCCTGTAACAAAGATATGGGACGGGAAAAATCATTCCTGTGAGAACTCCGTCATAGCTGCATCGGAGAGTTGGAAGGGGAGGTGTTTCATCAGCAGCCTCCCAAAGGAAGTTCTGCTGTGCAGCTAACCTGGAAGGCTCCTCTTCAGCAGTTGCAAGTTTGGAGACACTTCTCTGTTCTCCTACCTTGCATATTGGATAGGATAGGATACAGGTTAATCACACTGACAGATATATGCTGGTTCATGGAGGGATGAGGATTATTGGGAAGCATACATCTGGACACTGCAATGACACAGTGATGACACACAGACAAATGGGGTCACACTGAGATAGAAAATCTCTCCATGAATTTCTATATATGTAGAAAACTGCATAAGCAACTAGTGCAAGAGACAGAACAATCCAGCACCAATGAAGGTGCTGCGGGTCTGGGCAATGAGGGCCTCAGAGGTAACCCCCATTCTGATATTTTCCACCATTGATAACTTTGTCGAATTCTTGGACTTCATCTAAATGGAATCATGTGATAAATATAGTGCCTGGCTTTCTTTGTTCTGCACCTTTGTATACGTCCTCCATGCTAATGGATGTATCAGCAGTAGTGCTTTTTCATTGCTGTCTAGTATTCTGCTATATGAAGAACCAAGAAATCCTTATCTACTGTTGAATGGTATTTGGATTATTTCTCCTTTGGAACAAATATAGATAAACCTGTCATGAACATTCTTGAACATCTATGACTTGTATATTCTTGGCTTTTTAATGTGGAAATTGGGACCTCAAACTTGCTATACCATAGGGTTGGAATTCCAGCAATTCTTTGTATAACTCCTGCACAATTCCAAGAAGCAGGCAATAGAAGAGAGAGTTGGATGTTTTGCTTAGTTAGCTGTCCTGAACTTTCCCTTATTTTCATTCTTCTGCTTTTAGGAAATCCCACTTGAAAAGTAGCTATTTTCTCCTTTTGCAAGTCTATCTTTTTCAGTGCAAATCTTAAGCAAAATATAAAAAGCCAATACCAATTGATTCCTAAAATGAATCTATCGTTTCACTTTTTTTTTCCCTGAGGAAGCTGAGCATATTGACTCATTTTAGACCCTAAAAATACGTATCCATTCCACCTATTAAAAAAACAATGCAACAGGGATCCGTGGGCAGGAAGATGTCTGGAATTCCCTTCCCCCAGCCAGCCCCAGCATGGCGCTTGCTTTAAAGACTGGAGCATGATGACACACACCTCACCCATGTGGAAGATCTCTCCAGAGCCAAAGGTATGGTGAGGCAAGCTTCATCAATATTTTGATTTGTAATACTGAAGACATAGACTTATAATAATACATAAATAGTTTCTTAAAAAAAAAAACAGGATGCCAATGATTTTAACAGACTCAGTAAAACAACTTAAGTCTACTAGACAATTGAACAACTCTAAGCAGTCTTGATGATGCTACAAAGTTCCGTTAAACTCTACTCTTCACATAAGTGGATTTTCTAACCTGCCAATTACGGCTTTCCATTTTCTTCCTGGAGTTACACATCATGCGAATCTCAGATAGCACTGTCCTTGGAGCGGTTTTCTTGCCAGCTCACAGTGCCACCTGTGGCTGAGCTCTGCCTTGCTGTGATGCATTTATGTTGACCTGTTTTCACTCTTGGCCCCGGAAAACTTCAGCCTTCTGATACTACCAGCCCAATGTCCATGTTTCCTGTTTCCTGGCAGCTTTATTTACAGTCACATATTTAAAAGACAGAAGGCAGATTTCAATTTTATGAGTTGCTAATAAAGTAAGATTTACAGAAGTTGCTCAGACCACTGGGAAAATTACTAGAGCTCACAGTTGCAATAGTACATCCCCAAGTGAGCACGCTGAAGGGTGGCACCCTCTCCTAGCTAGTTCTAAACGTTTCCAACTCTTATTCCCTTCCCAGGCCCCTTCCAGGCAGAAGAGACTGCAGTTTCCAGGCTGCTCACACATAACTGAAGCATCTCTTTCCAGCCAGCTTCCAACAGCCTCCTTGGTCAGCTAGAAAATCAGGCTTGGGGGATCTGAGTTAAGAAGGACAACAACAAGAGTGAAGCGGGCAAAGTTTGGATCCACGGACTCAGGACTCCAGTTCTGGGAACATCTGGATCCCCAAGGCTGGCAAAATTGTATCCCAAAGGATGCTACGGGGTTCGAGGGAATCAGATGACATTTTAGATTTTTTTCTTCTGGAGCCCAAAGCATCCACACACAAATAAAGTGTTTCGTATAAAGCCATTTACCAAACAACAACAACAACAACAAAACAACAAAACAACAACAAAAGCCAGACACTCTGTCAGGCAGTGCTAGGCTCACTTCAACTCAGTGAACAAGCAATGGCTTAGCCACGGCACAGGGCTGGTGCTGGGTGCAGGGACTCAGGGATGTACAGCAAGAGAGGTCTCGCTGCCCACTGATGTGTCTGGAGAGGTGGGTGGGTGAAAGGGCTTTCCATTTGTCTTCCCAGTGCACTCTCCAAAGCCTGTCTCTTCCCTGGGATCCACCACGTCTCTGTCCTTTCCTGAGAAACAGACTAATAAATGTGCCTACTCACATTTTATATTAAGTTCTAGGAGCAAATCCAGGGTGCCAAGAGCCCTGCACTCGGCTGGCTACTTAGTCCCTGGCTCAGGCCCCAGGGCCTGCCAGGCACCAGAGGAGACCCTGGTTCTGCAGCTCAGAGCTCAGAACAGCCAATACTCTTTGCTGGGTGGGAAGTTAAGGACGGGGATAGTTCCTTGTGCAACCTAGGTCTTTTCCTCCCGAAGAGAATTCTACTCTGCCCTAAATGAACTCAGCTGTGCGCCCTGTGGCTTCTGCCGGTGGGTGGTGTGTGCTCTGGAGGAGGGTAGGGATCCTGGCTAGGAGTGGCAGTGGCACCGGCTCTGGAGTGGCCCTAAATGTCAACATGCAACATTACTAGGCAGGCCCTCCCACTTCAGTCCTCAGGCCACTCACAGGACTTCCTGTCTCCATGTAGAGGGGCTGACACCAGGTTGGAGCCGGCACTGAAAGGATCCCCGAACCCCGGCTTCTACAAGGCAGCATCCGCAGGTGAGGGGCCAGGCGCCTGGGCGACCCTCACCCGTCGCTCCTGGCTTCCCAAAGCCCCGCCAGAGCAGGCAACCATGCAGCAGGGTCCCCAGCGACCCCCCATCCCTAAGAGAAGACACGGAGTCCCCCCGCCCGCCAGCTGCTCCGGAGGCGGCTCCAGGGCAGACTCAACAAGTTCCCGGGGCCGCGCAGCGCCGCCTGCAGCCCAGAAACCCGGAGGACGCGCCGCGGTGAAGCCCCGCGCGCAGGCAGCAGCCGGCGGCAGCTCTTTCCTCCACCACCACCACCACCACCTCCTCCTCCTCCTCCTCCTCTTCCTCCTCCTCCTCCCTCTCCGGCAGCGGCGGGAGGGGGCTCCTCCACTCGGTTCGGATCACCCACCCCACGCACGCGGCCCGGCCCCGCGCCGCCCCCGCCCCACCCCCGCCCCGCGGGGCCCGGGGCTCCGCCCGCCTCGGTGCCAGCCGGGCGCACAGGCGGCAGGCACGCGGCTCGGGGCGCCCTCGCCTCTGGCCGCCGGGCTCCGCGGAGTAGCTGGGACCTGGAGCGGCGGCAAGGACTTCCCTCCTGCCCCCTCCGCCGCTCCGCCCCCGCCTCCTGGCCCTGGCTCTGAGATCTCGCCGAAGACAATTGCAGTAAATGAGGACATCGGAGGAGCGCGAAGCCGGGTGGCTGTGGCTGGCTCCGCCGCGCCGCGAGCGCCGCGAGCGAGCGAGCGCGCGGGCGTCCCCGGAGCCGGCCGAACCGCTACCTCCCCGCGCGAGTCGCTGAGCCGGGCCGGAGGGACGCGAGCTGCGGCGCGGGGGGCGGCCGGGCCAGAAGGGCCGGGCCGGCGGCGGTGGAGGGGGCGGGCAGCGGGCGCGCAGCCGGCCAAGTCCCCGGAGCCGAGGCTTCCTCCGCGCGAGCCCGGCGAGTCCGGCCGCGGATGCCCTGCCCGGAGTGCTCCGTGCCGCGCCAGGCTTGCCAGGGTCCGCGGCGAGACATGCCCGAGCCAGGCGCTGCCCCGACCTCGACTTATCTGTAAGCAGCGGAAGGTAAGAGAAGCCCCGCGCGCCCTCCTCCCGCGCCCCGGCGCCCGCCGCACTTGGCCGCGGGCGGAGCACAGCTCGGACGGGCGCCGACCCCGGCTCAGGCGCACGCACTCGCCCCCAAACCCGCTTGGCGGGGAGACTTGGCGGCTCCCGGGGCCAGGACGCCCCGGTGCAGCTGGGAGCGGACACGGCGCGGGCGCGGGCGTGGGCGGGGGGCGAGGTTACGCAACTGCATCTGGCGCGGCCGGGTCGCCGAGGGGCGTCTGGCAACTTTGGCGACGTCAGGGAGGAGCGGGGCTGCGCTTCTGTGATGTCGGATCCAGACAAACGCCACAGCTTCGTGAGCGCCCAACAGCCCTAGTCAGGCAGAACTGGGGGATCCGGGGGCGGCTGTCTCCCCGGAACATTTCGAGGCTTTAAGTATTTTCCAAACTAAAGCGCCCTGAAAAGTATGGCTGATTAACTTCGGGGAGTGGGGGGTGAGTTGGAGCAGAGGGGCCCTGAAGCCGGCCGCTGAGGAGAGGCGTGAGCAGCAGCGAAGGCAGATGCCCACGTGAAAATCCAGCCTCCTCCACTCACTGGGGTTGGCACCTTCCCGGGGCTGCGGGCTGGGGTCGGCGCCCGCGGGACTTCCAGGTGCCTGGCATCCCGAGTCAGGCCGGGACAGGCGTGGGAAACCAACCAACGCTGCAGATCTAAGGAGAGGGCGAGCTGGCGGGCGAGGGCAGGAGGGAGGAGGGAGCCCGCGGGCAGCCCGGGGCTGGGGCAGAGCCTGGAGCCCAAAGTCAAGAGCGAGAGCCTGCCTCTTGCTGGTTCACGCTCTGGGCTCCAGACTGAGGTCCCCATTGCTTGGATAAAGAGCCGCTCCCGGTGACCTCAGCATTCTACTACCCAAAAATAAGCCACAGGGAGAGGGAGCCAGTGATAAGCAGATGCCAGGAGTGGGGGAGGAGAGGTGCTTGTAGAGTAAATAGGAGAGAAAATGGGTGCGTTTTGCTTATCTACAACCCAGGGGTCCCGTCGGGACCCCTCTCCTGCTGTTGGTCTGTGCTTGAGGGGCTGGACGCCCTCTGGGCCCCTGCGCCAGAAGCAGCAGTGAAGCGGTTTACTTTGACCTTGTCTGCTTAGGCGCTGAAATTCTGCGGAAGCATCCCGAGGTGAAACTGCAAGAGTGGGAAGGAACTTTAGGGGAGCCCTGCCTTGGCTGGGAAGCCAAGCGATCATTTCAGAAGACTACGGCTCAGGCTAGCACAGGGTAGGGGTCTGTGCACTTGAAGGCTTTTCCGTGAACGAGGACTTGCTAGAGGGTTACCTTTACATACCCAAGCGCCGGGACTGTCAGGGTGACTGCGCTGGCTGTAGACTTGATTAAAAAATACCACCCGCAAGACCCAGGCCATTTCCCAGAGTAGTACATACATGAAAATGATACAGCCCTTATTAAGGTTACCTACAGCAAGTTACCGTCATTTCACTACGCAGAGGCTGAAAGTGCTGGTTTTTACTATTCACATTGTGCTATTTCATACACTCATATCCTGTTGAATGTTACTTTCGAAAGTTCATATTTATCTCTGCAATTTTTTTTTTTTGCTAGAATGATTAGCAAACATGCACAAGGACCTCAAAGGAAAAATGGAAGTCCTGCCATCTGCATGCCTCACCAGATATTAATAATTTACTATCCATGTTTACTACTTACATTAGATGGCACTGCTCCTCACGATGGTTTTATTAGAGGCGCATTTGGTGAAGAAAAAAAAAGTCTAGCAGTTATCACTAATTGCATGATTTTGCATAAATTACGTTAGCCATGGAGAGTTTTGTTTTCACTAAATTCATTTTGTTTAAAAGATTGAAGAATTCCGTTTAATTTCTTTAGCTAAATGAAAGACTTTTTCTTAAAGACAAAATGCCCTTGAAAAGCTCAATATGCCTTTAAACTTATTGCAGTTGCCACGACTTTCTATTTTATCATTGTGATGAAGACTTTGAGCATTTACGTAAATCAGGCCCTTTATCCGATTAAGAAACAGAACTACTGGTTAAGAAATAGGCTAAGAAGGCAAAAGCTGGGAAGCTCCAGGCTGCACAAGGAGCTTTCTGCAAGCTCTCTGGGAAGCTGGGTGCTCGATTACTCGGTTGATTTTGGGGGCTTCTCTGTTTTGCCAAGGTGGTTTTCCCCTGTGGCAGGAAAGGGAATTTTTGTCCTTTGTTTCTCCCTCTGTAGAGACTAATTTTAAAATAAATCAATAAATAAGAGAAAGACTTGTACGTGAAAGGCATTCATCTACAAGGAAGACTCCTACACGTTGAAATAAGCAGTCTAAAAATCAAAATGATTTTTAGAAATAACAGTGGATCACAGCTGAGCAGCAGGACAGACCTGCGCATGTAGATGTTTGTATTCTCTTGTTCCCACGCACCTACAGCTATCTCATTTAGAGACACAACTACTGAGCTGTGGAATAGGAGAAGCAGGTAACTCACGCTTCTCAGAGGCTCATGATAGAGAAATGATCACAGCTACATCCCAAAACAGCAGCTCTGTGGTCATTCACATAGGAAGGCAGTGACAGATTCACCAGGGATTTTTATGCACGTCAAGGATGCTGTTTAACCTCTTCATAACACCCAAGAAGCTCAGTCAGGAAGGCAGGCAAATTCTACATACTTGAGGCAAACCCCCATCATTCTGGGAATGTGAGGTCATAAAAACTCCCCAGAGAAAACCAGTGCCACTGTTATTTTAAATATTCCTTCGTAAATGTGAAGAACCACCTCCCCTCCCCACCATAATTCCACTGAGAGCTACATTCCCCAACAGAAATTAGCTGCCATGATTTATGAAGCAGATCCTTTTCTGTCTCCTCAGATATTTGATTTTAATATTTCATAACATTATGGAGTGACTTCAATATTTTAAAGCAAAATTTAATATGATAGATATTACATGACGACATTTTCATTACCATGAAATTCTCATACAAACATTTAGAGAAGTCTTCATCCAATATTGGAGCTAACGTATGATGCGTATGTAATGAAACTTCGTAACTTTTCATCAGTTTATTTAAAATATACATTGTTCTTATACATGAAGGACAGAATACAGACTTGCAGGAAGTAAACTTCAGGGCCCCTGACGGGACTGCTGGAAACAGTTGTTTGGTCAATGTCTTATGTTAACACTAAGACATAAAGGTATAGGTTTGAACCTTTGGACCATGTGTGATAATTTGTCTGTTTCAGATCCTGAAGGTGCTAACTAAAGTATCTCCAGGCAACCAAGGATCTGGCCTCTCACACTGAGAAAAACCGTAACTTCAGAGACATTTCCTGGTTCCAAATTCAAGTCCTTTCAGACACCCCTCTACTGTAAGTCACAGGATTTTCAGGGTGCATTTGAGTCATATGTACTTTAGATGTTATTCGAACCATAATGAATGAGCTGAGGGACTTTGAGGTGTACACAGATGTTATCAGATAACAAACCACTATCTGAACAAAAACAAAACATTCTAACCTGATAACTGCCTGTCTTTCTGCTTGAGCATATATTCCCAGCTCTAACTGGGACTGAAAGAAAATTAGCTTGAATGTAGAATAGCAGTTATTAGGGACGAGCAGGAATTACATTTCTAAATTACTCTATAAACCTTTTGGCTAACAACGTATTTCAAAGGGATTTGGAAATAACTCTATCCAAAGTCACTATTTGTGAATATTGATTTTATAGAGCATGGAATGTTTGTTGAAAGTATTGCACATCCATAGACATGTTCTCTTTACTAAACCATCCTGCTGTTAGAAGTTTGAACAAGAAAAGAAAGAGATGCTTGCATCTCTGCACAGCATATATTCATATGAACTATGCTATTCTAACCAATAGAATGGTGAAGAAACAAAAAAATCATAACATATCAAAATGCTTATTGAAGTTTATATTCCACTTCATATGGAAAATTACAATTCATTCCATAATAATCTAGCCTTGGGCATTAAATGAAATGCAGTAAACCACAACATACGAGAGACACGGGAAGGAGGCTACAGAATGCTGAACATATTACAGGCAGCCTTGCAAATAAAAGTTGCTCTCACTCCATCTCAGTAGAGATGATCACAGCTATCTCCCAAAGCAGCAGTTCTATGGACAGGCACATCCCAGACAGAAAGAGGAAAAAGGGCAGGCTGATGATATGAGGGCCTTTATACAGCTGTTCAGTTGAGGAAGCAACATGGGGGGTATAGCATACTCACTGCCAACCTTCATGAAATGGAGCCATCTTTGTGTTTCTAGGTCATTCCACTGGTCATATGGGTTCTCCTACCCTTGTTCTTCTCTAGGAAGGAAACTGTATTTCTCAATTGCCCTTCTTCATGTTTTTAAAAAATCTTTTAAAAGATTTTATGTGTATTTAGTTAGATTCTAGATACCTCTTATTACCTGTATTTTGTGCAATGAAATCTGCTTATTTTTGTAGTAAGTGATTTTAGCATCCTTAAAAACATAGCAAAGATAGGAAGCCTGGGATTTTTAAATAAAGCAAGCATCAAGAAGGTAGATGGCTTTGTTCAGAAAGGACTTCTGATCTGTGGATACGTACTGAGCTGTTGCAGCAGTGGCCAAGGCAATGTGTAAGGTATTACAAGACCAAGTGAGACGTCTCCAAGAAGGTCAAGTCTAGGAGGAAAGGAGGAAGTGGCCAGGAAGTAGCAGGAGCCTAAAGACTCCCCCAGGAAGAATCAGGATAGGAGGTTATGCGGAGAGAGGGATGCCCTGGGTGACTTGATGGGTGATGCTTGAAGTTGGACTCCTGAGCCCAGCAGACAGAAGTCCTAGAGCTTAAGCCAAGTGGTAGGGTGCTCAGGGCTACGGACTGGTATAGGAAGAGTGAGAAGTGACATTTGGCAAAGGTTGAGGTGCTGGGATCAGGCAGTGGAGGCACAGTGTGAAGTCAGTCTGAGGTCCTCTGTTGATGTTTTAAACAAGAACATAT